GTTTATATAGGGGGGTAATATTTTTGAGTAAATTTTAATGCGGGTTATTAACGAAATACCAGAAGCACTTTAATGCGTCAGGCAGACGCGGCTAAATTTCAAATAACTAATTACTCAAGTAGATATGCCTGACTATCTGTATAAATTTATATTTTACTATGTCACTATGGATGTAGATGGATTTACTCCATGGGAAAACCGCTGACCAAAATCTTGTACACCAATGCCCAGTGGACATTACTTTATCTCATTATCTTATTTCTCTTGTGGTGTATCTTGTTTCATCTTATTTCATCTTATTATATCTTAATTTAATAAGATCAGCTCGTTTTTCGTGTAAAAACAAATGAAAATGGACAGTCACCTTCTATTGCTCGTATGATTATTGGCCCGTTGTTGTTTTTCATTTATTATATCTTTATAATTCCCCAGCAAGACCTAATGCCTAAACTAATGGCCAAAGGATGCCTAGTAATGCCCAGTAATGCCGCAAATCTGTACACCGCAATGCCCTCGGCGGTTTCTCCCTCGGATTTACTTGACTTTGATTATTTATCATCGTTTCGTCCTTCATTGATGTTGCCTCGTTTTCCTCCTCCTGCGCTCCAACACTCCTCCTTATCTCCGTCGTTTGATCCGTCTAAATTCGGAATGTCATACCTCGAACACTCCTCAAACTTGCTACCCCGATCTTGCTATCCTTCCCCCTTATCGCTCCGCTAAGTTTCGGGTCACTTTTTCGTACTGTGCCGCCAAATATTATAATAAATCACCATCCTCCATCAGATCATCTTCCTCTCTCGCCTCTTTTCGTTGCTCAGCATCAACTTGCAATATATTGCATCGCCTGCCTTTTCTCTCGATTAACATTGCTGATATACGTCCTCGGATGGCAGGTTTTCAACATCAAAATTTAATCGCAAATCTTTATTCACAACGGTTACGCGATCTAACAATTAATTTTTCACTAAACAGATTTTACTCCAACAGATGATGCCTATTAACTTTGCAAAAACCCTGCTATCTCATATTAAAAGTTTATCTCATAATAGGAAACTTTCCTCCATATGTTGCGTAACGTTTCGATTTTATACATTTGCTCCGATCTTTATTTTACACCTAATCTCAGCAGGTAGGCTTTGTAACAACTTCTGTTGGTGCCTCACCTTTTGCTCTCAATATTATTTTCTCTTTCACTGCATCTCATTTTGTAGCAATAAATTGCAATTAAAATTGAATTAAAAATTTACTAAATAAAATTAAAAGCTCACGCATACATTTGTTCCAGTTATAAATTTAAAAAATATGAATATATAATTTATTTCCTGAGTGGTCGAATAGGTAAGACGCCCGCCTAGGGTGTAGGGAGGTCCAGGTTCAAACCCTGACTGAGTTAATATTTTTCACAATAAATTTCTCCAATTAGAATTTGCCAGTTGCGTCGTTTAGCAATTTTTCTACGTTGGTTGATAACGCACTGGCGTCAAATAATTCATTATTCTTGTTATATATAATTTATGTTACGTAGGCATTACATATGTATGCCTCACCTTTTGCGTTATTCTGTATCATATTTCTCTGCACCTCTTACTTAGCGATAAAATAAATAATAATAATATATTGCATATTGTATACATATGTATTGCATATTGCATAAATAACGTGTCTACGCTCTACGTAAACGTGTGTTTATATGAACTTCTGTCACCACGTAAGACACAGACGTATTTACTTGACCTCATTAATTGTTGAAAACTTGACATTTGTCAAAAGTGAATAACGTATACAATAAAAAGTGGACATAAATTATTTACATAAATTATACATATATGCGACACATGCGTATTATATGTTTGAAATGGATGCATATACATTACACAATTCAGCGTAATTAAAAGGAGTGTTTATAAAGAGCAAGCCTGCCGTATTCCACTTTTCCGAGATACTCCGGTTTCCGCCGTAGCTCCGGCGTAATATTGCAAATGTATAAACATCATGGCTGCGGCGCAAGGATTATTTACGTTGCTCCAGGGTAATACTCGCCGCGACAGAGTCCGCGAGAGGATCCTGCCGCGGAGAGCGTAGCCTCTGTCATTGCCCCGACGGAACTTAGAAACTCGTAACGCCAATCGATCGGCGAGAGACCGGTGCGTGGGACACTCGCCGTTGGCGAAAATCTTTTCAAACAACGCCGACCAACTTCAGATGAATCTCGGGGGGGTATTGGAAAATGCGCAGGGAACGGTCGCGGGGGCGAAAAGCTCGGGGCAGCGGCGGCCGAGCGACGCCGTGGAACCGCGTCCGCCGCCGAAGGGGGTAATGAACCCCTTGGGCGGCCGATCGACGGCGTGGGAGAGGCGGAGGGGCGCCGCGGCCGCGGACGAGATTCCGCGAGGCGTGCCGCGGAAACGGGACGGCGTCGCGAGGAAGCCGGAGTGTGTACAAGCAGGGTTCGACGTACTCACCGCAATGCAGTGACCTCCGCCGCGGTCGTTATCGGCACGCTGGAGTTTCCCTCCCTCGCGGTGTTGTCGGCGACGTGGCCCTCGGCGGACGGGGGTTGACGGCGAGGGACGGGCTGCCGTTGCCCGTGGCAGGAACCCAGCAGCGCGTACACTACCGTGGGACAGTCACGCTTCCAGCGGCGCGATACGCGCAAAATACGCTTGACGTCTCGCTCTCGGGATCACTCGGGATACTCCACCGCACCACACCGCGTACGCGCGCGTCAACGTCGAGGGCGCCGGGCAGCTGGCGCGGCTTTCGTCGCGGCCGCACACGGCCGGGGCCCGAGGAACGCGGAAGAGCAAAGTTTTTTTTCGGGGCTCGACGCGGCCCGCCGAATCGATGTGTGATGTTACACTTCCCAACTGTCTTTTTTGATTCTGCGGATGTGCCCGCGACTAGAGCCATCCCGCGGCGCGTGGGCGTACTCGCTGGCGCGCCGCCCGGCGGGAAATTCGAACGCGCCGCGAGAACGACGACGGGGATGTCGGTGAGAGCTGGACTTACTTCGATCTGTAATTAGTCGACTATTTGACGTTTCGCCGCGTCGACACAAAATCGGAGTTTCCTCCGAAGAGCGTAAAAGTGAAAGAATGCGGAAACAATTACAACGGAAATCAGTATCGGAGCCGATAAAATATTTCACGGATCACCAATCTGTTATCTCGAAGAAACACCTACAAATTATCGTCTTATTAATTATTCGTAAACTTAGGAAAAAGCAATTTATCGGTTATCTCGTTAGGTTTAATAGTGGCGAAACGAGGTATAAATAATATCTTGACTTTCAGCTTATTTCCTGCTTCGAGATACATTCAATTACAGAGAAATAAATAATAAATCGGCACAAGAGAGATCTGAAAACGTTTCTGTCGTGGCGGATATCGAGAATCACGTAATGTGCAACTTTTTAATATAATTTATTTGCATATAGAGTATAGTTTTTCACAATATATATAATATAAGAACATAATTCACCTTGTAATATTAATTTCATTAAATATAATATTAATACTTAAAATTTTTTTCATGATTGAAAACTCCACCGTATTTCGTTAGTAATTAATGATCGTAACGCAAGGGCGTAGCACGGTAAGCATATCTTTTATGTACTCCTTGTTGCAACTGCGGTATAGAAGCGTTCATTTTTTAATAATATATTACAACGTATATATATATTTTTTTTATATTTACATGAATATATAACGTAATTAAGTCACGCATTTCTTTCAGTTCGTGCACGTAAGTATATGTAAACAAAACGTGTTGTGTACCACATTGAGCTAGCTTAGAACAATTAAGTCTCCTTCCGTCCTAAATTAAATAAGGCATTGGTAGTGAAAATAGATATGTAGATAAAGACACATAAAGTGTAACACTGTTAAACAATAGCTACATGACGCAATAATAAAGTCAACGTGTCGTTACATCGGTAAATAATAATGCAAACGTTAAGTAGTTACATTCTAATGCGTGATATAATTATCGTAAGGCATTAAGTTTTACGGGCTATTTATATAGATGAAGCATAAATGCGGTCATTTTCAAACAGAATATCTACCGAATAATACCTACATTTAAATCCTCTTTTGATATAATCGATTTACAAGTAAATACAATTTCAACGCGCTGTTAATAAAATTATTTATGCGCGATACATAGGATATCAAACGCGATTATGAAATCCATTAGATATCTTATCGTTCATCTACTGCCTTTTCACTGTGCTTGTGATGTTTTTCGTACAGGAATATAATACAAGAAGCTATAATAATAAAGCATACTCAAATTTAATTACAAAAATTTACGAGTCTCTCGTATCGTCTGCATTACATTATGACAATATTCTGCAAGTCCATCTAACGTTAGTTGCATGTAATACTTATTGCTTCACCATACTATTTGCAAATCGTAAATTTTGTATTGTATATATTGTGTATATCAAATGATGTATGCACGCACACGCGCTTGTTTCGTCATATTTAGAAATAAATTTAGTCTTGTTACATCTTAAAAGTATAATCGTGTTAAGTAAAGATTTTAATAGATTTAAAGTGTCAATTTACAGACACTTGTTTTGAAAGATAGACTCGGAGAACACGGCACCGTACATGCATAATGACAATCTTCTTCCGTACCCAATCTTAACTTTAATTTACGAAGATTGGACTGCGCGCTGGTTGTTCATTGTTCCATTAATGAAGTTAGGGTCTTATACGCACTTCATGACATATTAGATTACACTGGATACAGCTTGTCATCTCCAAACTAGGAAATACTAACATATTAAATGTAAGCTTATATCTTGCTTATATGTATATATATATATGTGTGTATATATCGCTCTGTAAATCTAATATGAAGATGAAGGGATGCCAAAGGATATTCATTTATCAGCGAATAATGGGCGCACTTTGCATACAAATCTAGATTTTACGAACGAGAGACTTATTAAAATAAGAAATTTCATAACCGGAATTTAAGGCCACAAAACCTCTGTCATGACAATATTATTTATTATCTAACGGGACGTACCAGTTTACAATAAAATAAGCTGTACAAACAGGATGGAATGTTATATTAACTCCATATCCTTCAGAATGTATGTTAATTCGAATAAATGTTACAATATACAAGATAGGCATTCGTATCTGATTTCGTCATCTTTGATTATTAACAAGAAGTTTCAATACTTAAATTATTTTCGAGACTATTGAGTTTTGTGTTGCACCAGAATATTAACAGAATATACATAACAATTTCGACTTCTGGAAAACAATGTGATCAATTTCCTTCTAATATACCCTACGCACAAAATATACTTCCTGAGTACAACATATATCCTTAAGTCATTAATAACTTACAATCAGAAGAACAAGCAAGGTAAAATTAATAATATAACCTGTAACCAATTAATTAAATTTTGTTAGTTGGTCAATATAGTCTTTTTAAAAATTAATTTATTAGTGTTAAAATTCTGTATATCTTATTTAGTATGTTAATGAGATAAAATATAAATTTTCCTTCGATAACTTACTCTAAACTGCATAATTTCATTTCGTATTGCTTACAATTAGCACAAAACGAAATAAAAATTTAGAAATAAAAATGTTATTTTATTAGCTTTGGTGTCTATTATTTCTTGCCTTTTCTTCTAACATTATATTAACTGTTTATAAAACTGTTTATATTCTTCTGTACATCATAGGAGTACATTATACGTTTTTTAACAATACAATTTCTATGTAATGCTATTTTTATGATTTGATAATCAAAAGGTATTATAAAAGGAACAACATATATATAAAAGCAAAAGAATATAAATTAGTTTATACACATATATATGCAGGTATGCATGTAAAATATGTGACAAGCTGTTTATTTATCTTTATTCTTCAACAAAAGACATAAACAGCTTTATGTAATCAACAGTGGAAAAGAGGAATTAAAAGTTTGCATGCTATTAAAGTTGAAAAAGAGAAGCATAGTTTGGTGTGCCATAAAAATATAATTAAAATTATGACATATATAATCCATATTTACAATACTAGGAAAGTTTGATTCATTAGAAAAAACAATGTACTTTTTCACAAAACAACAGTCTATTTCGAGTATGCATTATAAAATTAGAGAGTAAATTTTTTAACTAAAGAAAAAGTTAAGTAATTCTTTTTGCCAAAATTTGGTATTTATACAATTGAAAATTTCAATAAGTTTTATTAACAATAAAGTATCATTATATTAATATCTTGTGATTTGAAAGTGGAAAAAGAAAAGTATATCTATATAAAGAAACTTTTTGAGTTGCAAAATGACGCAGAATGACATTGAGTGTTTTTATTTTATTTGCACATTAGTACAATGTCATTTTGAAACAATTTGTCATAATTTTATCATATACAGCCATTTGCACAAATTGCTTTTTATCAATAACATTCTAATATTAACAAAAAAAGAATCAATTATTAAATCAATATCATAATATCACATTGTTACAGCAGCCAAATCACTTCTCCCAGAAAATCCCATAGTTGCAATAGTAAAAATATGGCATGTCTTTAAGAGTGGATTAATTAATGTCTGACTGCAAGTTTAACAGTCTACATCAGATTATGTAAACATTTTTCATTATAACAAGTGTTTTCAAAAGCGTAGTATATGCTAAAAGACTTATCGAAAGTTATAGAAAAACTAAGCAACTTTTAAATTTAACTTTTTAAACGTATTATTTTCAATATATTTACTGTTGCCACTCATACTGAGGAGACAACAAAATCATTAAAGTGCAGAGAATTCTTTAAATAGATAATCGTATTAAGATAATATACTTTTTTTTGTGTGTACCTCTATTTATAGGTATATGTAATATATACATTATATTACAGATATCATCATGAACAAAGGTATTTCGTGCTAGTCGACTCCAGCAAAGCCTTGAGAACCTTCAATTGCTTTAACTAGCTTATCCCTGAGTTGTTGATAACTTTTATACGGAGGAAGGTCAATACGATTAAAACTGAAACAATAATTTATTCAGTTTATCAATAATTTATTCAGAAATTATTGATAATAAGCAAAACTGATAAATTATATTTTACGATTTTTCTTTGATATATTATATATTATAGTTATATAATATGTAATAGTTTCAAGTGGAAACTGGCAAATAAATTACTTTTCTTGAGTAAAAACTCACCAAGTATGAGCTCTTGGATAATTTTCTGGTGTACCCCACCTCTCGATTGTGAATAACTGCGGTCCATTGCTGCCATAAAGTTCTTTAAATCCATTCATTGGAACACGTGATGTGCCAGTTACAAACTGTAATAATCTAGAACGCATTTCGTTGCTAAATGACAAAACGACTCTCCAGAACCACTGCACAACAATGTGATTTGCATGATAGTCTCCTTTATATAAAGTATTTTGTTTCCAGTCTTTCACATCAATATGCTGTATACCACACATTAATAATTCCAGTTCATGTTCATCGAATATTTTCACCAATGTTGGTGGTATAAGAGCGTTGAACCCTTCCAAAAAGGCATTCATTTGTTCCTGCACACGAGATACAAATCGCCATTGGATAACTAGACTTATATATTCATCCTTATTTTCGTCGGTCAAAGGAATATTAGCACCATCTGGCTTTAAGTCTCTTTGGGAAGTATGACCGAAACTTTCTTCGTCGAGACTGAAAGTGAGTTCTAATTCACTGGGATCATTCTCTTTAATCCATAGAAGAGAATTGTAATATTCAGAATCAACACTCTCCATGTCCTTCAGATCAATTGGTTTACCCAACATCATTTTATAAAACGGCCGAATAAAGAAAGCTAAAAAAGGGAATGTTTAATTTATACATACATATATTATTTTACTGATTTTTAATTACTATATATTAAAACGTACCATCCAATAGCTTGCCGTGATAAACAGCCATTCCTGCTATACGTCCAATAAATTTAAAGTAATTCAAATGCTCTTCATTACATACTCCAGAACAAGGATTAATTTGCAGTGTATAATTATCGCTAGAAATAAAAATATATCACTTTTATTCTGTAATCGTATATATTATGAGCACTAAGAGTTTTCATACTCACGTTGCAGAATACTCAAAGAGTCCATAGTATGGATTAAACATTTCCTTAGACAATAAGAAGAACCATTCTCTTGCAAGGCCACCATAATCTAAGCCTACTTCTCCTTCAAATTCTACCCATAATTTTGTTTTTAGAATATCAACTCTGTTAACGGAGCTTATAATACGGTACGAATCTTCCAAAATATTGTTCCGTCCAACTTTTATCTCAAACTTATTAGGAACATTATTCTGTAATAAGATATACATATCTATAATAATCATATCAATGCTAAAAGTGATTTAATGAACAATAAACATTTACGTACAGGCTTTCTCAATTGTGATTTCAGATATTCATATTTACGCTTGTAATCTCTTGAGTATGGTACAGCCTGAAAAAGAATAGTAATTTACAATGTTTCAAATGCATATATGCATGTATGTATGTAGGAAATATATACATATTTCCCTATATAGAAAGGGTCGATATAAAAAAATTTGTAATCATACCGGGCCAGCAATTTGGGGATTAGACATGCGTGGATCTTCCCATTGCGTTGTTCTTGTATCTATAACGAAAGAGATAAATAAATATCCAGATATAATATTATAATTTGAATGTGAAACTTTTATGAAAAATTATACACATACTGTGGTCTATAAAGAAGATTCGTCCATCCGTGTGTACTCTTTCCTCCCACCCTTCTGGAAGCGGTCCTAATTGATCTAAATCAGGTCTTGATGTTGTTGATGGTGCAATGTGATTAGGAATAGAACTTGGTCTTCCCGTTCTAGGATCAATCCAGGTTGTTGCCCTCTCATTGTGATCAATAAAAAATATTCTACCATTAGGTGCTACTTGCATGCCCCAACCAGGTGGCAATCCTTCATCATTAGATACGGGAAGAGTAGGTTTAGGAATGTCAATCTAAAATTTTTACAATAAAAGAAAAAAATTGAAAATTAGTTAACACTATGAATAATATTTCATAGAAATCATAATTAAACATACCTGCTCCGATGAACGTCTCGAACCAGCCGGACTGTCGATATCATCAGTCTGTAAGTATAAAGTAAAAACGTTTATATATTACACCCCAATAAAATAAAGTATGTGAAAATACAATGAGAATAATATATGTATCAATTAATACAATAAGCTAGTGCATATATTATAATTTTGTAAAAATTATTTTAAATACAGCTTTCTTTATTACTTTAGAACATATTCTTTATATGTACATGAGAGATTCATGCTAAAAATTTTAAATACATAAAGAAAATTTCAAAATAAAATATTCTAAACGAAGCATGCTACAGATATTCAATTGTAAAGCAGTAATGCATGAAATAACTTAAAAATACAATTTGATAAAAAATAACATCACAAAATATCATGTTACAAAGACAAAAGAAAATCTAAATTTGTAAATTCTACCTGATACTATAACTGAAACTTTTGTAGATGTATAAAAAATGTTTGCATACTTTTATATACGTCATTTAATAACATATACTTTTACGAAATATAACTAAACAGTTATAAAGAAACTAGAATATACGTGTCTGTCTTTATGTAATGCACATGACTTAGCTTTATCAGAGTTGAGTCAGATGGAATTGATACATGAAATAAAACTTACATATGCTATTATTCACTTTACAGCAAGCACACAAATGTAAATATATACGTATGAAGCGTTACATTCAGCTAAAAGTGAACATAACAACTTTATGTATATTAATACCTGTTCTTCAGATTCGCTAAGGTAGCCACGTTGATCGACAGAACGTCCGGAGTCTGAAGAAGTATCCCCAATACCCCCTCCCCTATGATCCCCACCCTCACAATCTCTTGCTTCCGAATCTTCATCGTCCTCGCGTAGAACTTCACCATCCTTACACACACATGCACAAATTTCTACATACTGCATGCTAATCATACGAATTGTATGAATAGATATGCTAATTAGAATTCCGGAATTAGAAATGCGGACGCGATTAAAAATGTTGTTTAACTAATTAGGAATATATTAAGAATAAAAAGCTGCTTATGCTTCACGACAATCTTGTATCTTGTAGCAAATTCGGCAGCTTGCACCAGTGCGCACTGAGCGCACACCAAGTTTACTTTTTATATTTATGGTCATCTCAAGTTCAAAATTATTTAGCCAAAAACATGATCCGTACGAATGCTATAAGGATCATTTTACTGGCTAAGAAGTATTTTGAAAAGCATTTAAGACGATCTTTAAATATATAGCAAATTTGATTGCTTGCACTAGTGCGCACTGAGTATACACTAAGGCCTATTTATAGACAATTTTTACATTTAACTTTGTCTTAAATACATGTTCTAGGGGTATTTAGCCAAAAAATGATCCGTATGGATGCTATACAGGTCGTTTTATTGGTTAAATATTTCAAGGGATATTTAATACGATCCTTAAATATAAGAGTTGACTGTAAACAAGCCTTGGTGTGCACTCAGTGCGCACTAGTGCAAGCAACCAAATTTGCTAATAGGAATTAACTGTAAACAAGCCTTAGTGCGTACTCAAAGACTAGGGCAAGCTGCCGAATTCACTATTAGTTACGCTTAATACCAAATTGCTATATATTGTATACATCTACTATTTCGTCAGAATATAATACTATTTCACTACATTTCTAAACACATTCTTACGTGAAAAAAATATGCATAACAAACATGTTTATACAAAATATATCCGTACCCGTTATTGAAATATTAAAGTGAATAAATCTTGGGAAAAATGTAAGGAAATTCTTGTGCCAACATCATAAAGGAACATCATAAAGTAAAATAATTTTATCAAGTTTAAGTTGATGTGCAGTAAAACGATATGCCTGTATTCTTCTTTTACCAATACGCTATTGATCAGATATACAGCATATTTGCAAATAACGATTGTTTCGTTACATATGAAAATTTTTGTGCGTGTGTGTGTACGATCACATATATCTTACGTGAGATATGAATAATCATAAAGAAAACATAGTAAAATGCCTGCCAGTATGGAGATTTGAAAGCAGAGAATATTATTATGAAAGTTTAATTTTTTTTTTTAATGCAGGGAGATGCGATTCTTTAGAAATGTAATTAAAAGACATCCTATTTCTTCCATAAAACTAAATAAGTCTAATAAATTTAAACATTTTCTAAAACATACAGATATATATATATAATGTCGAAAAACGCGGAGCAATAACGTAAATAGCTATTCAAAACAAAGCATGATTATAAGGTGGACTTAATAACTCAACGTTCTCCTATATATACGCTTAAAAAATGTTTTTTATACAAGTATTATAGTCCAAGTCTTTATATAACATATGTTATATTTATATATGTTGAGTTTATGCAAAAGTAGCAATTTGAAACCTTAATAGAACACGCTGTTGAACTTACCTGCGTTACTACCGAGTTCCTATGTCTACCTTCATCATCAGCACTAATATGAAACCGTCGTTGAAATTCGGTAGCCGCTGTATCCAAATTACGTTGCTCAACAATTCCGCTCGTCGCTGTTGTATCTCTACAATAACATTTTGAAATACAAATGCCACATTTCGAAACGATATCGTACATGGAATAAACGCTGTCACGTACGGTTCTGGTCGTTCCCATTGTGTGAAACGCGCTATATGATTAACATAGTATGTACGACCATTGGCGTCCTGTCTTTCTTCCCATCCTTGTGGCAATGGCCTATTAACCATCGTAATCTGCAAAAGTATTTGAAACAATAGTTATTAGTTGCGTTGCTCTTATTTTACAAGTACGCAAAGGATACATTCAACTGGTGTACATAAGAAATGTATGATGTAATACAAAGTTACTATTAACAACGGTGTGTGTACATACATCTGCACTTTGTTCTACTGGACTGTTACTCTCTGGCTGTACTAATTCCCATCCGCCTGAATCGGATACGTCTCCATTGTCATTTTCAATACTGGATGAGTCGGAAACGTATGCATGATACAGTTCCAACGTTCCCTTAACTCGTGATCGCTGACTGGAATGATTACTAGCCATATCCTCATAAGTTATTCATATTTTGCATTCGCAAATGAAAAAGTACAAAGCAAACAAATTTCAATAAAATATTTATGTAAAGTGTATATACAGTTAAATATTTTCTTTAATTACAGAGTCAAATTATGTACATAGTGCGTATCACTAAAAATTTTACGTAAAGCGACTGAAATTATAATTGATAATTCATCTTATCGCTGGTGGGGACCGGTGGAAAGTTGTGAGATACCAAACTTATATATCGCAATGAGATGTAAATAATGTAAATCAGATCGAGGTGTGTAACGTGTAAAACTAAATTGGAAAATATGTAGCGTCAAGCAAAATCGTCAAAGACACTTACCTACGTGGACGAAGTACATAATTCCTAGCAGGAATAGCGCGACCTTCTTGTTCCTTTGGCAAATTAATCAATGTTAACTCAACCATACCAAGAAAATCATCCCTTGTCAATCTATTCTCGTCGAAAACTTGCAAGACCAATTTGTGTTCTACTGGTTTCACCTGTCAAAAAAGAAAAACAGCTCAGAACCTTGAAGCAGCATGGAAAATGTCTCGGTGGTGGCGCTTTCCGCACGTTGGTTTGCTCCGGTCTTTTTTACACGCCACTCACCCTAAATACAAATTCCTCCTCCCAGACAGGATTCAGTGTCTTCTTCTTGGTTCTTGTAAGCGCAGAGTCCACCGTCTGATCGCCATGTATTGTGTTCAAGTCCACGCGTACATAGGGATCGCTCGCACCAAAGATATCTTTCTTAGCTAAATGGTGCCCAGCGATTACTTTTAATCTCAACTTGCTCGTTTCGTCTCTCTAAATAAACAAAATCACTGTGTGACATGATCAGGCGTCAAAATTACGTCCCGATATCGATGAACGTGTTCGAGACGGCATTAATAAGTGTGAAATATATATGTACATATATATATATAAAATTTATATTATCGAAATTATAACAAATACTGAGACCTAGTTGGGATCGACAAATGCCTCTCCACGAAATATTTCCACGATGTTTCGAGCGCTAAATAACAAGAACACAAGTTTCGCGGTACGGAAAGAAGCTATCAAACGACATGACTGATTATCATATTGGCACAATGGCAGACAAGCCTTTCCCAAATATCGCACTATATTGCACAAGACTTGTCGCCAGCAATTACACCCAAGTTGACTCCAAAAGTGTCGGGCACAACAACGACGAGCGTCGAAACGTTATAATCGGTAATTAACGCGCCATTTGGGAAGACACGTGCGAGCGACGTCGTTAGGGCACTGTGCTACGTTGCAGGTGTAACTCGGGATTAACGTCGGGAACTGGACATTTCCCCTGGCGGGATCGCGCTCGCTCGCTCGCCCGCCCGTCGTCGTCGTCGTCGCGACAAGCGCCGCTGATCGAGACGCACCGCGTACACTCAACAGCGACGAGGCCGCTCTCGCGGAAGGAGGAAAATGAAAACGTCGCGACGATAAACAGCCGTGCCCGAAAGCAACACTCGTCCACGTCGCCGTCGGTTGCGCCTTTATCGGTCGCCCAGAACCCAACCTGTACTTGTCAAGCTGTCAAAGTGGTGTTACGTACGGAATCGCTGTCGACTCCGACCGTCGGATTGTAACCGTAAACATGTTCTTCTGCCATTAACGTTACGTGTGCTCGATTGGTACCTAATAGCCGACCGCACGTTCTCTCTCCCTTACTATTTAACGGGCCTCACAGTCTCTTGCGTGTGCCATCAAGAAACCTATTTTGCGCTAACCCCCCTCCGCGCGGCTATTGCGCGACCGAGACGGATGTGACATGCCCGCTTCCGGGTTCAAAGATGGCCAACCCGCCTTTTAAATATTCAGAAAGCGGCAAACGCGCGGGCCGATCGCGCCCGAGATGTAAATACGAGAAGTCTCGTCGAAATTATTCGCAATCTGTCTTAGATCCCCGCAGTGCACAACCTGCCTTTCGTGATAGAAATATCATTCATTCGCGGAGACACGCGGCACGTTGGAAAATACCAGGTTTTCGCGAGAAAACTTGCAAGCGATAAAAGACGCGCGAAATGCAAATTCCTTAAAATACAAATTTACGCTATTAAAACCACGCTTCGCTTACACAATACATGCGTAAATTTTGAATAAAAAATAATATTGCGTGTACTTTTTTGAAGAAATATTTCAGGAATTTTCTAACATGAAATGTCGTTTAAAAAATTATCCTCGAACTGCCCTCGAAAATCACTGTCTTCAGAAAGGAAATTAATGCAAAGAGTTGTTCTTATCTCAAGATTATGAAACGGTTCACACTTGAAGACATGACTAAAACAACGAAAATTACGGTGTATCTTTATAACTGGTTTACGTAACTTTTTACGACCTCATGAATTCAACAACGTTTGAATAGTCACAAACACGGGCGGCTTATTCTCGCATCTTTATCTCAAGGCCTGTGTCCACAGGCTAGAACTTGACCTAAATTCTAAGGTCTGTTCATCTCATTTTATTTACGATTTAAGTGACGACATTGGTCGTTGGCGCAAGCTGGAGCACGTCGGGGCATGCGACGCGAACAGACCTCTAGTTTCGAGAAATGTGTAGCCAATCAGCTTGCAACTATTCCATTAAAGCTGCAAGTTAATTGGCTACACATTTCTCGGAGCTAGAACTTGGACCAAGTTCTAGCATTGTGGACACAAGCCTCAAATGAGATTCAACTCAGGAAACCTGGCACTCGAATGCATTCGAAGGAGAAACGTATGCGAAAATTCTGCTCTTGCAGACGAGCTACAAGTTGATTGGCTATTCGTATGGCTTTCAGCCAATCGACTTTCAACTTTTCCGTCGGAGCAGAAGTCTCGCATACGTTTCTCCGTTGCTTCTCTCTCATTGGTCTGCCCAGAGCAATGTCGGATGCGCAGAAGGGATCGACGCAAAACGAAACAACTGGCGGAGTGAACCTACTAGTTACAGTATGGTTGCATTAAGCGTCGTCTACAATAACCGGCGTAAGCGTGGAGTAAGAAGAAGTAAGAAAACCTAACCTTTACCTTTCAGTGTAAAAGCTAAAGAATAGACATAATTTTTTTAAATATTTGTAGCACTGGTCGAACTACGCTTTAATTCGCCGCGAGTAAGCGTCAGAGCTGAAGTAGGAGTAGGAAATGGAAATGATCCATTTCTTTACTCCTACTCTTACTTCTTACGCCAAGCTTACTCCACCTATTGTAGACGACGCTTTATATGTCTCTTCCCCTTCCTCCTCCGTTTCTATACACGTATGTCAATATCTCACCGCGGGCTCCGACAAAGACACTCGACCAAGTTGCGCGTTGACTTCCATCACACGTGATGCGGAACGGTGCTGTGTGGACCACGTGTGGGCGCGTCTTCTCGACGGGAGTGAATCGACGCCAGCGTAGATCGGATACGTCAGGGTGCCTGGCATCTTTCGTTCTTTCTTTATGTCTTTCAGCGTCACTGGTCTCGGACTCGTCGACTCTGTGCATTACAGTTTTTCTTAAACGTCGTACTTGGGATTACCTCAACTTTCCAACTATGTTGAAGGAAATCTATTATGTGCATACTCCACGGCGTATACGTTTGCGCATAACATCAAGATCCTTTCGAAAAGTGCACTTTCATCGTCACGTTTTTAATCTCGTATAAATATCTACATTACCTGACTTGTTTCCCCTTTAAAAGTCTATAGTGTGCGCACATACACGCGTGACATTAACTATAGATTCTCTAGTATTGAAATGCACCTTGAGCGATGTTTTCGAACGCAGCCAAAAGGTGTTATTCTATCCCCCTTCAAAAAAATTTTGATCGTGTCAAAGAAATACAGCAGATTTACATAATTTCCTTTGACGTTGACGATGCAATTAACGTGTTTAATTAACATTCCCTGAAAAATTGATAACGAAAAACATTCATAATGTTTTTATCACTTTTCAACAGAGTACTTAAACTCTCCTTATATTTTGCAGTGATTGTACATTACATTGAATTTCATCAGGAAAGTTACGATTCATTTCGAGAGATATATATTCAGTAATTTCAATAACTGTCATCTCACTTATCATCGATTTCGTAGTGCTTTTAGCAAAATACTTTCATCGCGGTTAACACGTTTCTTTAAAACCGGATTTATAAGTTCACGTCTCTCTTCATCAACGAGTACGAAGTAATAACAATTGGTGTTGTAAAACCGGATTTAACTGGTTGTACAACGTCTTACGTCAATAGCTGTGATTACGGACGTGATTAAGCCCTAATTAATATTAGTAACGTATAAACGTAGTCATTAATTCATGCTATTGAATCTTTAATATATTGTTTGTGAATTTTTAAGAAGTTACGTTCACACTTTACGCCAGGCGCCAGGCAATTCTTGCGCGCTGACGCACGCAAGAATTTCAAATACGGTAATTATAATAGAGATCTTACGAGCAACTTATATAATTTATAGCTCTATCTAATAGCTCTATCTATTATGCAAAATCAGATAGCAATTCATTGTTTTCCACGCGCCCGTTATGTAATAATGTAATTTCCAAGTCTACCTACATAATTGCACCAAGTTCCTGATTACAGGCTGGACACACGAAATACAATTCTGTGGAACGACAAAAGTCTCCCTGCTTACATTTGACACATAAATCTTCCTATATGTATACGAAGAAAAAATAAATAAAATTACAGAAACAAGAAACGGCTGTGTGCCCTTCGGCGAGAACAAAACTGCGAAGCTAAAACATCCGTGTTATAGGTGCAGCTTAATTTCCTAATCGATTTAACGATCGGTTCACTCGTATATAAGTCACATCTCGGCACCGATCTCTGCACTCGACGCCACGATCTTTGCGGAAAAGGAAACGAGCGTGAACGCTCGTTCGTCCTCGGGCTCACTTGATCACTAACACACGGCAAATGTTAAAATTTTAGATAAGGCGGTATCGTTAATCATCGCCAAGATAACGCGCAACACGCACGCGAAAGGCTGCCTATCGTACGGCGATAATTTCGCCGTGTGTACAGGTGGACGGGCAGTCGTTACTGTCTACCTAACCGTCTCGAGCTGTAGCTTACTTAGCAATTTCGCGTATGCAAATTTGTATGCCGCCTAAAATGGAAGCTATCGAAATGCATTAAACGCGCCTCCCAACGTACTTATCGTTCAGATCTTTCAGCGTTTACTTCGTGTCCGATTCACGTACATTTTTCTTCTCCCCTCTCTCCCTGCTCTATCTCTTATCAACTCGCTCGTCATCGATTGATACAGATTTCTTTGCGTAGAATTTAGAAATAATACTCGGAAGTTAACGACAGCGATATGACGCATCGGCTGTATCTCTTCCTACATCTCTTTTCAATGCGACGTTACGTTATTATTAACACGGCAATTCCCAGATAGCCAAATCTGCCGGAACAAATTTCGTCAAATGCCGACTACACATTTAGAAGGCAGAAAGACTGCAGATTGCATACAGAAACTGATATATTCGACATGTTGCCATGTCAGTAGAAATACAACAAAATCTTTTGACATAACTGGGCCTGCTCGGTTTCTGCGGACAATCTGTTGATATGCGTTATATGTTTTACAGACTCTAGGCAGGAACAGAGAACAAACCTTCTGTTGCCGAAACAAAAACCAAGTGCGGACACAAATGGCTATGGCTTTGGTGTTGGCTTCTGATGAACCTGCTGCCAATCTGGTAACACAAAGCAATTCCAAACGCAAAGAAAGGATCCTCATTATAGCTATACTTTTAAAACTAGTATGAACGATCGGTTGTGACTTTGAGAGCTTTTTGTTTTGATCGGTCATGTGCAATCGACGCCCCTTCGTTTATAGGAAAATATAATTGCATAGTCAAAATAATTATAGTCAGAAATATCATTTTTATAATTATCTATATCTAGAATGGTATAGTGATGTCGCTGTGTACGAGTTATAAAGGGTAAGGGTAATTAATTCAAAAGCAAATAGTATTGTTCCCATAACCCTAGCTGGTTTCCTTTTTAATTTTTAGGTTTACAGGGTCTATCCAGACAAACTTGTATGTACAAGTACATAAACATACTGGGGGTCGATTTCTGGAACTTAGGAAAATTACAAAAGTGAGTGAATACTAGAATATTTGTAATTTTAACCTATGAATTCGTTCACTTTTGTAATTTTCACAAGTTTCAGAGATACACAATACACCTCCTCATCTCTCTTACGAACTGTCACGAACGCTTCATGCATATGACGAGCATGTGACATGCACGAATGCGACTCGAGCGCTGTCCGTTGACAAGCGCTCCCAGTGATTCTTTTTGGAACGAATATTTCTCGAAAATGTCGGACCACTCTGATTACGCGAGTTCGGTCTCCTTCCCTCGTAAAAATTTCGTTTTCGCGAAACGCATAGTAGAACAGTCAGAAACAGATAGAATTTAATGCATGTTCTATCCGTTTCTAACGGAATTTTTACCAGGGTTATACAGACTCCATAGGCTTGTTTTCTGTTCCTACACTGGTTCCTACACCAATGCAATAAATTAGAGTGAGCAAGCATATTTCTTTCTCATTCGACAAACATTTTGCAAGACGTAACACAGCTCAGTTCTAAAAGTATAACCCAATCAGCGCTAAGCGCTTACTGCGCGACTTCTCCCCTGAACGCGACCATTGGCTAAATGATTTCTGAATGTGATTGGCTGGATCTAAAAGTATTAACCAATCATACTGAGCGCTCACTCAACAGTTGTGTCTGCTGAACGCGGCCATTGGCACATGCTCTAGAGCTTTGTCCAGTTTGGCAGTACGTCTCTGGATGCCTTTGAGAACGTTTGCCAATCGATTCTCGTGTGATTGATCCCACGCGGCCGTAGGAATTTTTCTGGACAGGCCTTAAAGCCTCCGCTACAATGATTCTCGGTTCTGTCTACAATGCGAGTCGCAGAGTCGTAGTCGTAAGAATAATCGACTGCGATTGGTCAATTCTTACTTTGCGACTGCTCAAGCGACCATCGATACAACTGTACGACCATTGTAGACAGAACCGAGAATCATTGTAGCGGAGGCTTTAAGCCTCGTCTACATAGAAGTCGTAAAGTCGTAGTCGTAAGAATAGTCGACTGCGATTGGTCAATTCTTATATGTCTGACTGAATTGACCAATCGCAGTCGATTATTCTTACGACTACGACCATTGTAGACAGAACCGAGAATCATTGTAGCGGAGGCTTTATGCCGCTGTCACGCTCATACTCGTTGTGTTTGGAACCACCTGCGTCCTGTCACTCCTGTCAAGAGTAGAGTGTATCGCCGGTCAAAGATTCGCGATGCGAAGCGAAGACTGCGGTAGCGGAAGATGGGCTTCATCGAGGACACTATCGTGATTCTCGTAACACAGGTGGAAATTCGTTTCCACTACACAAATCAGATTTATCGATACTTGCCCAACTGATTAAGGTTATAAAGAGAGTATCCCGTACATACGTGTATCTCGGAATAATGTCAACGAATTGTCTCTTATTAACGCTGTTAGATGTAACATAAAACTGAACGAATCCCTTTTGGTTGTCAACAAGCTCCTTGACACACTCTCAATCAGTATTGATTCTCTGCAGACTATTAATATTAATCGATTTTTCTGCTTGTAAAACGCGACGTTACATCTTTACTTTTCCTTTACTTACATATAACGACGTTACATATCTACGAAACTGAATTGTGAAATGTATGTGCTTTTGAGAACAGTACAATAAATTTCGCAATCGTAAAGTCTTGCAGTTTATTTAGCAAAACGTCGCGTCTATGTGTACGTTTCAACATGTTATTTGGTTTTAGAATGAGCTTACTTGATGCGTGGTCTTCTCTGTATGATAGGTAGTCTCTCCGCTTTACTTATCTCCCATGTATTTCAGGTAATTTTTTTCCTAGGAGGATGGGTGTTCTTTGTGAAGAAATTATTCAGGGATTATGAAGTCCATCATAGATTAGTACAACTAATTTTCTCGACAACATTTTCGTTGTCGTGCACCATGTTCGAGTTAATCATCTTTGAAATAGCAGGAGTGCTCGACTCGAGGTATACTAGAAAAAATCACACTCGCACCTTGTCTGTGGTTTGAGATACGATACACTTGTTCCCCTCAGTTCTAGATACTTCCATTGGAATGCTGGCCTTTACATGCTCCTATTTATGGTGATAGTTCTGATTCCATTTTATATTGCATATTTTATTATCAGCAATATCAGATTTGGTATGTATTTGTTATGAAAATATCTTACGAGCTTCTTCTCTGCCGCTTAGCAAACACATTTTTGTCAAATCTAATCTATCTTTCTTTTGTCCACACAGTAAGACTGAATTTAATACGGCCATTGACGGTTGTCATATATCTTTTCTATCTCTACCTGTTCTGGAAAGTGGGTGATCCTTTCCCAATACTGAGTCCCAAGAAAGGGCTGTTGTCTATAGAGCAGGGCGTCAGCCGAATAGGTGTTATAGGTGTCACAGTAATGGCCCTTCTGTCGGGTTTCGGCGCTGTAAATTATCCGTACACTTCAATGGCTTATTTTATGCGTCCAGTTTCTTACACGGACGTGCAGGCTATAGAGAAACGATTGTTGCAAACTATGGACATGATTATCGCAAAGAAGAAACGAATCGCATTAGCTAAAAAGGGCGAAGCTGATGGACAAACCGAAACTCGATCTCGGCTATGGGGAATGTTGAATCCGTTAGGTGGTACAAAGGGAAACCAAGAAAGTATATATTCTCTTTAATTTTGCAACGGAGCTAAAAGTGCAAGCCATCCTAATGACAGAGTACATATATCGCTTTATAGGTATCAAGCAGTTACAAATCGAAGTTACCGCTTTAGAGGAGTTGTCACGGCAGTTATTTTTGGAAGCGCACGACATACAGAATGCGAGAGAGCGCCTGGAGTGGGCCGCCACGTGGCAAGGGAAATATTTCAACTTCCTCGGTTATTTCTTCTCTTTGTACTGCACTTGGAAGATATTCATTGTAAGTGTACTTTTAATAATTTAAATAATTTGGTTTCGAATAGCTCATAATTGTATTACATTTCTATAGTCTACAATCAACATAGTGTTCGATCGAGTCGGCAAAAAAGATCCTGTAACCAGAGGAATCGAAATTGCAGTGCATTGGATCGGTTTCAATATCGACGTTACATTTTGGTCGCAGCACATTTCTTTTTACCTTGTCGGCTGCATTGTTGTGACGTCCATACGTGGATTATTGTTAACTCTGACAAAGGTAATGTAAAATATATACATATGTATGGTAATTATACAGAATGTCCCAGACCACTTGTGCACCCTTTTTAAAATAAAAATAAAGAGCTTATAAAAAGTCGCGAACATTTTATAAGTAATCGTACGCTTTATCGAATGGTGATATTTTCAACTTTTGATTTCGACCGAAAGTTGAACCTGTATAGCCTTTTGTAACAATTTTTTTTTTAGTTTTTCTATGCCATATCGAGCAGCAAGTCATCAAATATTATTGTACTTATACTTGCGCAAATAATGGTAAGTTTGTATATAACGTATATACAATTTTTGTAAAGTTCATATTCAAGTTCTAAATTCTGCGTTATTTTCAGGGAATGTATTTTGTATCTTCTGTACTTCTTATGCGGATGAACATGCCGGCAGAATACCGCATTATAATAACGCAAGTATTAGGAGAATTACAGTTCAATTTTTATCATAGATGGTTTGACGTTATTTTCTTGGTATCAGCGTTATCGTCAATCGTGTTTTTATATTTAGCTCACAAACATGCACCAACGGAACGTATATAACGAAATAAAGGTACTTTTCGAGAGAAATCTCATCGACCTTATTTTACGAAGTAGTTTATTTAAAACCTACATTTGATATTTCGGTAGATAAGTTATTAAAATATGTTCAATGCTGGCAGAGAATAGTAAAATTTTTAATATATGTTTCACGACACAAGTAACGTTAAATTATATACATAAATACTCTTGACACACAAGATTTTTGTTGTGATACATCACAATATTATTTTTTATTAAATCATAAAGTACTGTAAATTACAAAAGATTGTATCTGTAGCCTCTCAAAATATTATGCAGTTTGATTAATTTGAAAAATCACTCGATAGTTATTTTCCTTTCACAGCAAGTAAATGTAAACTGTATTCATATATTTGTTCTAAAAAACAACCATCACAGATAACTGAATAGTAATAGAAAATTGGCATTGGAGTATGGATACTGAGTTGATTATGCAGTAAAATAAATCCTAACGTAATAATTCAATGGTCCATTCTTCGCCCATATTTACAGCTGGTTTACGTATCGTTAATACGTTGTTATGTGGATTATATGTAGTTTCCAACGTTACTTTTCCCATACCTGTAAGAAATATATATTATTAATATCGATTTGAAAAACCGATTTATTACACTTGAATGACTACTCACTGTGAGATTCCACTTGAGCAGATTTAATTCCTTGTGGTGGATTGGCTATGTCTATTCTTTCTAACCAGCTTCGTGTTTCATACGAAGCCAGTTTATCTATCAAAGTCGAAACTATCTTGTTACTGTTCAATGTTATTCTTAAATACAGGTATTTTCCATGACGATATTCGAAACTGACTTCATCGTCAATATATAGACTGCCAGTAGCTCTGCCATTACTATCGGCAATTAATATCAGCGTGTAAGGATCATTCCTCATAGCAACTGTACTACGTCGTATTCTCATTTTTCGTGGGACGATAGAGCCACTTCTTTGGAATACAGGGATTTTGTGGAGCGTTACCGGTATCTTAACATATCCTCCCTTTTGATAGGCTTGCATCGTATCGATATCGTACCAAGTTACTTTGCCCTCTCCTGGGAAATAAACTGCTACTTCGGTAGCACTGGACTGGAATACTGGCCGTACGAGTATCGAGTCGCCAAGTAACAGCTCGTCGTCGATAGTAAATGCTTCCGACTCGGTTGGATAATGTGCCCATAAAGGCCGTATGACGGGATAACCGTTTACTTCGTGTTCTCTGAAAAGCGTGTACCACAATGGCAAGTAGGAGTATCGCAATCTGAGTGTCTCGCGAACTATTTGAGTAGTTTCCTCATTGAATGTCCACGGCTCACGCCTCTTCGTCTCGATGTGAGAATGTTGACGGAAGAAAGGTAGCCACGTTGCAGCTTGATACCATCTAATGAATAGTTCCGAGTCTGGATTCTTGAAGAAACCTGCGACATCGGCACCGCAAAACGATATTCCGGATATAGCTACCGAAAGACACATGGGATAGCTTATACGAAGGTGACTCCAGTCAGCCATGTTGTCGCCGGTCCACATTGCCGCGTAACGTTGTGAGCCAGCGAAGAAGGATCTCGTTAAGACAAAAGGTCTCAAGGAACCGCCTGACCGACGGAATAGAGCTTCGTATGTCGAACGAATGTACATATGTCCGTTAAGATTGTGAACATCTCTGTGTTCCCAGCCTCCGTAGTGAATAAGATCCTTTGGTGCCGTTACCTCGGGTCCGTTAAACACACTCGGCTCGTTCATATCATTCCAAATGTAAACGTCATTAGTGGTACCATGGAATTTATCCAAGCTGTATAATCCAGTATAATATTCTATGACTTTTGGATCGAAAAAGTCCAAGTACGACGAGGCCCCCGGCCAGCACCAGCCCTCGTAATCTTTGCCATCCCTGTTTTTGATGTAATACCCCAAGCTGGTGGCATCGTTATGTAAGAAATAGCTGTTGTCACGTTTAATATGAGGATCTATGATGACCACCAATTTTCTGCCTTTCGCAGTAAGATTGTGTATCATTTCAAGAGGATTTGGGAATTTACGTGAATCCCATGTAAAATATTTCTTGCTGTCTGTATATTCAATATCGAGCCACATAACTTCTAGTGGTATATCGTGTGTATCAAAACCTTCGGCGATCGTTGCGACGTCGTCCTGATCATTGTAATTCCAACGAGACTGATGATATCCGAGTGCGAACATCTAAGACACACATTTTACGAAAATATTTCGTTAAAAATTTGTCAGCCTTTACAATTAATTTCTTCAACATACTTGCGGCAAAGGAGCAGTGCTGGTTAAAACGGTGAATTGTCTGAAAACATCAAGTGGTTTTGGGCCCAGCATGAAGAATATGTCAATCACTCCGGATTCTGACATGAAATGAGCATCCACCTGAGATTTCTTAGTTGATCCGGACACGAAATTAACAATGCTTTCTACAACATTGTTGTCTGCACTCGATAGAATGTCAATCCACGTTTCAGCTGTATTGTGCCAGAAGACAGCCGACGATCTTTCCTTTCTAAAATATTAAACCAACAAATTTCACATAAATATCTTGGCTAGAGTTCTAAAGCTCCAATTTATTAAATATGTTCTCACCCGTGAGCGTAAAGAACCGGGATGGCACCGTACAAAGCCATACGCTCGTTTGTTTCATATTCAAACACGTCTAGATTGTACAACCTATACGGATCGGTCGATTTAGTAGATTGCAACGCTAGCGCATCAGCGTGTTCCGGAATGCCATAGGCATGCTCCGATCCGGGAAAACTGAAGTCCATGGCGACAGCTTCGGGCCCGTACGGTTTCGAATCATGATGCTCCTTAAAATTTTCGTCCCAAGCGCCAGGATCATTGTCAGCGCCGTCGCCGGGATACGTCGCGTTATTTGTCTCTGCAGTTTCAGCGTTTTCAGCATTTTCACCTTCAGGTCTGTATGACACACAACAGTACAATTACTTTATGAACATCTCGATACAATAAATTATAAACAAGGGAAGAAAAGAATAGGCAATAGGAGCCAAACGCAGGATGTTGGATGCAATTAACAAAAGTTTAATATTGTAAATTAATTTAATAAGATCAGCTCGTTTCGTGTAAAAACAAATGAAAAACGACAACGGGCCAATAATCGTACCAACATCCTGCGTTTGGCTCCTATTACCTATTCTGATTTCCTTTGTTGTATATTTTTATATAATGATTTTATCTTCTGGCGACACTTACTTTACCGGTCTTGTACGCAAGTGCTCAAATCTCATAAGACCGCGAGCATTCGCCGATATCGTTAAAACACCCTGGGAATACAGCTCTACTCTAAATGGATTAACGTATAAAACGGCTTTGTTCTCGCCCTTGGTTACAGTTATAGCCTCAGCAGTGCTCTCCACAAAATCCATCTCCACCGTTTGCGGCTGATCGTGAAGGGCGTATTCATTCTGATATCTGGGATGCAGCGGATTCTTTTCGTTGACGTGCAACCGAAATGTGTTCTCCTTTAACGTGATAAGCTGCACCACGTAGGTGACACCTGTATCCTTATTCAATAAGTCTATGATGATCATTGATTCATTCTGTACAAGTTTATCTGGCAGAAGTTGATATGGCGTTTTTCCAGGCTCCATCCCTCTGCACCGTCTACGAAGGAAACAAAGTTACAACGGTCTGTCTCGAGTGTGCTTGCAACAACGGCCAATCCTTACCGGCAGAAACTGCTCTGGTCGCATCTTTTGAAGTTGTCCCTGTTGACTGCGTCGGTAATGAATGGAGAACACAGTAGTACTAAAAATAGAGCCAACCTGAAACGTACGTGAGACGAGAGTGAAATCTGGAAACGTTCGTCGCGACACAACGGGCTATGCAAGTCACAGATCAGGGCAAATGTTTACGGGTGTTTTCCAGCGGCGTGCACAGTGCGGTACAGGGAATCGCTTTATCTCTGTTGTTTACCATTAATAAACGGGGACGAAGTGATTCTCCGCGTTACACTGTGGCAATCTATGCCTCCTGCTGGAAAGCACCCTGCGCAAATGATGCTTATCGGCGCGAATTACATCGTGCTCTCTCACGCCCAGCTGGGTAACGACCCCGGGAGGAAATCCTGCCGGAAAAAGGCGGCGATCTGCGCGGCGACACGTTCGCTTATAAAACTGTACAACTTGGCCGTGGCGTATGGCGGTCAGTGTCGCAGCCGTCCGGCGACAGATTAGATTAGATTGACGACCGGCGGCGGGAGGAGTTAATTGAAGAAAAAAAAAGTATTTATATCGGAAACACACAACACTGCGCGGTGGGGACACGTCAGCGGCGTATCAACGACCCGCGAGATCCGCGCCGCGGATTTCGCGCTCCGGAAAACAGTGGAATTGTCGGCGCGCCGAGCCGAGAGAGCGTCGCGAACGTGCGCGACGTCACATGCACCCGCGACGAATCCGTATCTCCGCCCGTGTCCTACCGCGAAGGTTAAAGGGCCGAAAATAAACCTACCGAACGCACGGAGCCATGTTGAGGAAGTCACCACTGCCGTACCGCCTTCGCACCAGCAGAGAGAAGACTGAGAGCTGCCAGGGCCGGGTTGATCCTCGAACGCGTCACGACCTCTGTGGACACTGGACACCAACTACGTAGCCGGTATTTTGCCAAGCGGGTAAGGCAGATTTACAAAATTTTCTATCGAACTTACCGACAAAATTTTTACTAGATTGTTCTCGATAAACTTGCTGGTCTATACTTGTCTATACTCTATGTATTTTCGGTGATAACTGAGGGACAGCCTCACCGTTTTTGACGAAATTTTACAGGATCGTGTATCTTTGCCTGTAAAATATTTAGCAAACGATACGGTAAAAATCACTCAAATTTCTCTTACACCTTGTTAGTTTGATTATCTTTCGCATCATGTAATATGTTATAGGTTTGCTCCGTGTGTGTGTGTAGCGGTACAGTGTACACTCGGCACTGCTTGCCTCGGCATGTGGGACTGTCGTGCACCGACAGCGAAGTCTGGGGACCAGGCGAGTTGAGCGTCCGGCTGCTGGTGAGAAGAATCGAGCACGCAGAATGAATGTCGTGCGGGTCAACTCGAAGAACGTGATATTCCTCTTCATGGCGCTCCTGTCAATCTACGTCCAGGAGGCTCGTATGGATTACGGTGAGTGAGCCCACTCCGGAACCTCGTTACGAGAGTCCCAGGCGAGGAAGAAACGTTTCCACAAGCTAAACATTCAAAGTCGAGTATCGACTTGACAATGCCGCTGCTTGTATCAGTCGCGGAGTACTGATGTATTTGAGTTCTTTCTTCTTTTTTACACCTGAAAGCTACGCCTGTAACTTGACCAGTCGATGTAATCGTTGCAGGCACCGCGAGCAGCTATGCTCTGAAAGAAGCCAACGTCAACTCCACGCCTGCCTACAGCAGCAAGAAGGTAAGACTCGTTAAAATTCCGAGCGACAGTGACGTATGATTGGGTCACGAGTACAGATTGGATTGTTGAACCGCAGGATGAAGTGAACGATAGGTGTTCGAAAGGGAAACCCTGCGTGGAATTGAGCATCGAGTGCCTGAGGTGCAATTTGAATTACAGCTGCAGATACGGGGCGATGTACGAGGCGAACTGTTCCGTGCTGGAGAAAGTTGATTGTATAGTATGTAAGACTTGTGAGGGGAAAGTTTCTTGGGCATTTCTCTTCGGCTCGAAGCTTAAAATCTAATTCTTGAATATATTGATGATTAAATTGGATATCACGTTCGTCCACAGGGCGAACAAACCTTCTCGAGGAAATACATGTGCCGTTATTGTTATCAAACTGATCACTGGGAGCATCACTGCCACCAGAAAAATTCCTGCAGCTCTGTGGCGTCTCCTCAGCAATATTACCGGTCTGTAACGTCATTTCATACATGTATGTATGTATGCAGTACTGGCCAGAAGTGTGAATCGGAGTAAATGCATCAGATTGATTAATTGATAAAATAAGTAATTACGATGTGGTTTCTTTGGCGAAAACAACTTGTTGAAACAAACTTTAGTCTTCAAATCTAATTTCAACTATAGGTCTATATTGCCTCCACAGTGCAAACGTTTGGTACTAGAAATCGATGTAGAATTTCATTAACAAAGTTTCAATATTGAGACGGGAAACTTATAGTCAACCCAACTGGCTAGTTGTTTAATTAGTTTATTACACAACGTTTCGACTCTATTCTTTTGGGTCCTTTTCGAGTGATTCGAAAGTTTCAATAGTGCTCCGCCTGAAATACTCTTCCAAACTGTTTGTAATACATGAGACAACTGTATTTTAATTTCTAAAATGTGTCTTACTTCATGCATCGGGTAACATTTTTCTCTCAAACGTCTTGTTTTCGAGATATACAGGTCCAATACTTTTCCCTCGTCCCTTTTCCTCGTCGTATTATTTTAATAATAACTGACATTCCAATATTTTTATTGCAGAACAAATTGTACGGTAAACGATGACACATTGTGTCTGGGTAGACGGAAGTTTATGAAAAACTTGCCTTGCAACTGGACAGTCGGGTATCGTTGGTCTACGGCTCTGATCTTGAGCATCACTCTCGGAGGATTTGGCGCAGATAGGTACAATCTCGCAAGCGTGCCATTTGAAATACAGACGATCGATTTAAGGGCAGTATTTATAGTCAGATCTTATACTCAAGATCGTATTGAGATCATCTTTAGACACTCTGTAGCCAATAAAATGTTCCGTACAACATCTTCAGATAATTCAAGACGGTCTTGAATATAAAATCTGACTATGAATACCGGTCTAAGTGTGAATTTGACGTAAAACTCGTACGCGGATTGCAGATTTTACTTGGGGCATTGGCAAGAAGGTATCGGCAAGCTTTTCAGCTTCGGTGGACTTGGTGTATGGACCTTAATCGACGTGATATTGATCTCTATGAGATACTTAGGCCCCGCTGACGGCTCTTTGTATATTTAGATTATTCACAAATATTGTAAATACTAGTATGAAATCTAAGTGTTATTTTACCATAATTTATTGCAGTAGGAAGATATATTTGTTGATACTACACGGAGAGAATTTTTCTTTAAATTTATCCTGAAAATTATGTAATCGTTGGACAACGGCATTTTGAAGAATTCTATGAGTTTTTTTAAGTTGACCATTTTGCTAGTAGAAGGTATGGTCAAATTAAAAAAAAAACTCATAAGTCTTCAGAATGCTATGTTGTCCCACGATTACGTGATCTTCAGAGTAAGTTTTAAGCGAAAATTCTCTGTGCAGGTACAAATAAATGTGATACATGTAAATACATAAATATAGTACGCCTTCTTCATAAAAATGAAATTCAAATTTGTTTCGTCATAGACAATAGTTGTCGACGTATTCGGGTAGATTTAGTGTTTAATAATTAATGTTCTTTGTAATCTCTGTACAAAGCTCTCGAGAGATAAAAGAGCAGGTGTGAGATGTTGAAGTTTTTTGTGGGAAATTTAAAAAATATTGTATTATAAATGATGAATATACAGCAAGCGCATAATTGATCTGTTAACAAAACTATCCGTATGTTGTAAAAAACTAATTCAATTTTTATTATTTTCAAGAAAGAAAACCATGCTACGTGCTGCAAAATTTTAGCAGTGGGTCAATTCCTTTGACTATGCGACTCGCATTGTAAACCCTGCCTTAAGATACAGAATTGATACTTCGGTGTGGCAGACATATTTGTACAAGATGTAAACATCAGGCTACGCGAAACGGGATGATCGGAATAGGTTAGAAACGCTCGTAAAATTGCAGACCAACGCGTCGCTTTACGGCGCGCATTATTAGCCGAAGAAGCGCATTAGCATGACACAAATATTGTTGACATCCTCGAGGATTTATTGGCTCCAACTGGCGAACAACCTCTTCTTCTCGAGGAAGAGAAATCGACGCGCAGGAAAGTTTAATACGTGGCTCTCTATGTAACCTGTACGTTTGCTTCTAAGAGGTTTGTAATATTTCTAAAAATTCCTAAGATAAAATTCTGATATAACTTAACGGTTAAAAGGCGGTTCCATAGAAGGGTAAACTTAAAAAAATACAAGAGGTTTGTGCGGATCTGGAGGGAGAAGGAGAGAGCTGTGCGATGGTTGATAAATATACTGTGTGATTTTTAGGTGTATCCGGTCTTTAATTACGCTGCTCGGAGCTTCGCTCGGACGTCGAGATGCCTACGGTGATCGCCCTGGACGTCTCCCTCTCAATGAGGAGGCCCGTGCTGACGAGCGGGACGAGTGACAGCTTGCAGAACGAACCGTTGACGCGGCACCACTTGGCGGTGCACGGTATAAATGCTCTGTTGCATTACTTGCAGGTCAACTCGAAGCTAGAATTTGTGTCGTTGGTGAGAACAGACTGTAACGATACCAGATACAATGAATACCTGGCAGAGCTTGGTATCTTGACTTTTTTCATCAAGCATACATATATACGATACATTTTCAATGGAAGCGTAGAGATACAGATACAAGTTACATTTCTTCAATTCCTTCGATTTAGATATAGACACAAGCTGCACTGAATTCTTTTTTCCTGAGAGAGATACAGATACAGATAGTATCTGTATCTATATCTTAAAAGATACCAAGCTCTGATACTTGGTATATTAATATTTGTAAGGTTAACAAGCTTTAACTTTTAGATTGTATTCTCGTCGTTGTACGAGATAGTCTGCCCGTTCACTCGCGACTACGACAGCATACGCGCCAAGCTGCAGACCATCGAGGAGTGGGACAAGACGTTCGTCGAAGGAGCGTTGCACGGAGTTAACAATGTGATCATGGCGGAATGGGGCAACGCCACGGCCTGCCAAGTGATATTAATTACGGACGGTAATCCGGGCGTGGGGTCAATGTCCCTGGGCAATTCCCTGAGTTCTATGAACATCTCGCAAGACGTGAATCCATTCCCGCTGCCTTTCCCGTACCCAGGACAATTAAGTGTAGTCTGCATTGGGCCGCAGCAGGGTAAGTTCGAGACGCGAGCTTACTTTTGCTCACCTTTTATCTTGCATTGTGTTTTTCAGACCCCAGTTTGCAAATCGGCCTGCCTCTCTATCAACGTTTGGTCGATTTAGCTGGTGGCGAAAGTATCGTACTAGTTCCTGAGGCACCGCTTAGCAAATACTCGGTTGCGGCTTGCTTCCAGAAGTTAGCCGAGGCGAATTACGTTTCCTTTCAGGGATATTTGAAGTGTGGCCATTTAGGCTCCCGTATTTTATTGTCACCAGCGCCTATGGTAAAATGAGCGAGCATTATGAGAACACGCTAGATCGCTACGAATAATTATAGACGTTGCGTTGTATTTGTTTCAGCCTTACACGAAGAAGACGGATTTCGAATTAGCCCCGGGCCTGGCGATATCGAAGAGTATAGAAATATGTGGATTTATATCTGTAGGGGACGTCGGCAGCCCAAGCTCCATTTCTAGGCACTTGATGTTGCCGTTGGCGACAGAGAAAAACTCAAGTATGCAAGGGATATCGTTGGAGGAGGATTCGGATACCGATGAGAACGGAGACGAGGGAAAAATGCCGTCCTTTTGCGTATTGCTTCACGGCGCGCTGAAGGTAGCGGCTTGTTAGAAATGCAGCTGTTATTATTACGTGCGTACGATTAATTGGTATACTTTGCAGGTGGAAAATATGGCAGCCCTCTGTATGCTGAACAACGAATGGTATGGATTTATATACTCTTGGGCGGATACCAAGAAGAAATCTAACTTAATGCTGACGGTATTGGAGCCGGGATCCGACATTGTACCGTGGTTAGGCAATTTCAACAATTTAGGTCCATTAGACACGGTCAAAAATTCTCCAGTTAGCTTCCCAGTTAGACCGGCTGAAAAGAGAAGCTACACGCAAAATGCCCCTTCGTGGATTCGCCAAGTCGGTTTGCAATCCGACATTCAAAAAATATTGAGACACGCAAGAAAATTGCCCGACAAGACCCAAAACTTTTACAAGGTAAATTACGCGGACTGATAGAGCGAGACAGTTGAAAGAAACAATTATTTTTCTTTTTGCACAGGAGGTGAATAGATTACGACGTGCAGCGGCGTCAATAGGATTCATCGAGTTGCTAGAAGGATTAGCGTGCATCTTGGAGCGAGAGTGCACATTGCTGCCGCCGAATCTAAATCCCGACTGTACGATCCAAATGGGACACGTCGCGTCGATGATCAGAAAGTCGGAGTTTCACGAGCTTAGGTATAACATTCCGCCCGCGCGGACAAAATTTCAACCTGGATCATGAGTTGCGACGGACAGTAATCAAAGTGCTGTTACATTTGTATCGGAGTTGGACGTTTATACGGCAAAAATAAAACTTGTATTTGTTATAATCGTATGCCACATCCCATGTTAATATCACATTACATCATTTATATTACACATATTTCTATCTTATATATGTATATAATCTTAATTTTTTAATTTCTAGATATTTATGTAAGAAAATATACATCTAGGCCTTTTTGAGCGTATAAGTTCTTATAAAACTTTGTTTGCAGCCTCTTACACCTGTTCTTTTATCTCAGCGTTTTGTGCAGATTATGCGGAACATTAATTATTAAACGTTCAAACTACCCGAATATGTCGACAACTATTCTATATCTATGACTGAACAAGAATTTCATCTTAGAAAAAAGGCGAATATTGTTTCCTGTGTTATTGGCAGTTTAATAGACCAAGACTGTTAACTGGACTTGAAATTACTTATTAAGTAACGCAAAATATCGTATAAACCGTTGGCAGTTTGTACACTGGAGTATTTGAGAAAGTCTGGAACATGCACGAACAGAGTCTTGGTCGGCTCGATAGAAAGAGATTGGTAAAATGTGTACTCGCACAAGAATCTGCCGGCATTGTGCGAGAGGCAGGCTTTGCAGCCGCTTCTCTCAAAGTTTTGATTCACGCTGTCGCAAAGCTCCTCGACATTTATCCCAGTCTCCAGCACGTTACAGTCGACACTCGTTTCGTCCGGGCATTTGCTGCATATATCGAGTCTGTCGTAGCCGTTGCTGCGAGCATGGCATTCTATCGTCAAGGATTCAGCTATGTGTGACACACCCACGTGTAGGACAATCTGGAACGAGAGATGATAAGTCGAGAAATCGCGTAGCTCAGTCCTGGTAGAAATATTTTACTGAAAATATAACGAAACGTATCAAAGAGAATTTGTTTCATAATTTAAGAATTAATTTCATAATTTGAGAATTCAAGAAGAATTAATCTCATAAATCGGGAATTCAACAAGAACTTATTGCATAATTCGTAAAGTCCAAAAGAATTCTTCTTGGACTTTCCGCGCTCTCCGGGCTTTATTTCATTTCTCTTCAGGCTTTGATACTTTCAACAAAGTATTTCCATCGAGGGTCGAGTCGTGGCACATCTCACCGACGGATTGTGTTTCTTCCAGAGCCGAGGAACACGGTTGGACACGTAGGCGTACGAGACCGGGATTTCTTCCGCGACCAGCTCGAAGTCGGGAAACTCGACGGAGTTCTCCCAGAGCTTCTGCAACTCCTTCACCGCCTCCCAGCTGGCGTTCACCACGTGTGCGTCGAACGGGCCGAAGCCGGTCACCAGGATGCGCTTGGGATCGGCGCCCATTTCTGCAAACGCAACGGGAGATCTTCCGTGACACGACACCCGCGATTATTCGCTCGACTTCGCCGCTCGGTAAGTTTGACCTCTTATCGGAGCGTTATCGGGCGTGATGTCACCCGCGCAGCGGGAACTCAGGATCCGCCGAGTGATTTATTGATTTGAGTCACGAGTCGCACCAGCTCGCTCGACGTTTGCGGTGTGACTGACGTTATTAGGGAGCCTCGTCGAAATATTTATCGCCGATCGCGCGCCAATGAATTCGCAAATCTACAAATTTAATATTGCGTGTAGGACGCACGTTGAACGGTGTCCAACGATGTATCTCTCCATATTTTATAATCTACGATAGAGTATACACTAGGAATGTGCATTTGTCAAAATGACTAAATGCCTGGGGAAGAGAATTGTAAGGTTTATAGAAATAAATTGAATTAGGGCGTAAACTTAAATAAATCAAACTCTTCAATTGTCAGGGAAAATTCATATGAAAGTTTAATGTTAATACTGTAACGGTTCAAAGTAAACTTGGTCCGATTAACACATACGAAGGTATCGAGATAAATTGTTCGCTGTCCGCAAATAATATCAGCTCAAGCAAACGCACAAACTAACTTGTTAGTTAATAATCAATTTCTCTAACAGTCCCTCGTCAGATACTTATATAATTTCCAAACAGTCCCTCGTCTACTTTTACACAACACTCAGTCTCGGAAGGAATATTTAGGATAGTGGATCTTTAATATTTCCAACAACACTTTAAGAACTCATTTCACTTATACCAGTTAAAATTTTTATTTATACATAGTAAATTCAGTAATCGAAATTATGCATGAAGCAATACATATATGTATGTAACAACTGGAAGATATTATACATTTAGTAAATATAAAAAATATATATATAACTATTTTTGCATTTGTTACATGTACAAATGCTTATATTATGTTTATATATATATAATGCTTTGCGAAGAAAAATATATAATCTTTTTGTATATTTATGTCTTTAGATCTGTAAGGTACGCGTATACTTTTATAATATTACGACAAGGCCGAGATTCTCGTGAGATTCTTTACAGATTGAAATTCACTAACAATAAGAGGCACGTACATTGGCACAATTCCGTTAAAAGCTTACCGTTACCATTTCAGAAGCGTTTACAGTATAGGAACATTCAAGCGATGGAAGTCATAGTAAACTATCATAAGTATACATATACAGTGAAAATAATTTTATAAAATCGCTGGTCAACTCTATGGAATCACAAATTATATATGCGGACGAATGAAAAATGAACAAAAATATGTTCACAATTTTTTAAGACAATTAATGTGTTTTCACCTTCTATATTGATTTTTATAAAATCCTAAATAATTGTATGATGATTTGAAATTCTCAGCATTCATCGACATGGCCAGTGAATCGTAATTTGAAAAATCACCAAGTACTTGCACCGTGTACATTAAAATATCTTCATTTAAAAATTCATTTACAAAGCATACAGGGTGAATTAGAGTGGTTGCACCAATTTGCCATAGGAGATGGATTACCAACCGTAACTGTAGCAAATCCTGGAAAAAATGAAAAAATCTCGTTATGTATGTTTTTATCATGTAATATCTAATTGTGTTTCTTGAAATACAATTCGATGTTACATGATTGAGACATAGCGAGATTTTTCCATTTTTTCCAGGATTGGCTATAGTTGCGATCGGTAATCAGGTTGGTGCAACCACTCTGATTCACCCTGAATAAAGTTACATTATTGGCACAACTGTTCAAAAAAGCTAAAGAAAAGATATTTGGACATTTATGTACACACGTTGTACGCATTTGTAAATAGATGGACGTCAAATGCAACAAAAGAAGTTTCATGTATGAACGTTTGAAAATATTTTATAAGTGCACTAGTGCCAATAAGCATTTCTTGTAATGTCCCGAGCAGTCACCCTATAAGAACAAGAAAAAAAACGAAAATTAGATTGCCCGTATAGATACACGAGATGTTTTTGATGACTTACAGATATGAAATCTTCCAAGGGCTCTCCGTATTCATGGACGAACACATCCTTTATCTCGCCCATATCTACTTCAGAACGTGTCACAACCAGTCGAATGAGGCGGTTGTCGTCGGTACCAAGACCTTTCATGCTTTTGTACAGCTGCTCGGCGAAGAAACCAGGTCTGTTCTTGACGCACTTAACTATTTTAAAAATTTTGACTTTAATACGCAGCCTAGTAAAATATATTTTTTCTTGTAGCAAATTCGATTGCTTGCACCAGTACACACTAAGGCTTGTTGCTTGCACTTAGTACGCATTAGTGCAAACAACCGAATTTGCTATTATACATAAAATGTATTTGTAACTCATTCCTACCAATGGCAAGAAGACCCTTCTTAATATCGCCTGAAAATTCGTTTTCAATCGCAACGTCAATATCATGGCCAGTTACGTTATGATACTCTATGAATATTTGGCGCAATTGCGCAAAGTTTCTTTGGACGAGAATCGCGTTGAATGTAGACTCGTCCGTACCAAATCGCAGCTCCCCTGTATAATATTAACGTAACGTTAAAACAAGAAAAGATATAAGGCAGTGGCTATTTAAATATTCTATATTAATTACCAGCTTGCAAAAGTTGCCTAGCGTCTTCCATCGCAGCGGCATTGTCCACGTTGTGTGATTCGTCTCTATTGGCACAACACAGTGATACCATCAAGCGCTTGAAATTGCCAGATGTATCAGAAATCAGATCATCTTCCAGCTTTCTTCCGTACACTGTAATTATTAAATGGTACGGTAAGCAAACTGAATGGGCATAATCTTATTATCATTCAACTCACTTGCTTCATATGCCTGTTTAATGACCGCGATTTCATGATTGGTCATTGTACACAATACTTCGATGAGTACCGTCTCATCTGTACCAAGGCCGGATAGTGCATCGTGGAGTTCTTTGGCATAATATTGAGGCAGGGGCATCATCAAGGCAAGAACGAGTTTCTCGAAGTTCCCCGACAGCTCGGACTTCAAATCCTTTATCAGATCCTGTCAACAGAGACACGACGCATTGTATAATCGTACTAAGCAATGTAGTACTGATTTTGTAAAATTTTCCGAATTTCTCAAACTAGTACCTTTCCATAAAGAGTCTTAAATTGAGACGCGATCTCTTGGCGCTGTAGATTACTGCGGTTCGTAAGAACCTGAATAATGGCCTTCTCATCAGTGCCGAATCCCTTCATAGCTTTTCTCAGGGTCTCCGCATCCGCTCTAGCATCGAAGCCGTTGTAAGGCACAACCGTGGGAGAAGTCTGTAACAAAAGTTCACAAAGTCTTAAAAGATTCAAAGCAAAGAATAACGATACAAGATTCGAGGCTTCCGCAAGATTACAATAATCGCTGCCTAAACACCTGCACCGAGAATATTTAACATCTCGCTTATAACTAAATCTCACCTTAGACGTGAACCAATCTCTCCGGGGGGCTGGGGTAGCACCACGTGTAGCAGCAGTAGGTGGATTAGCGGCGTAAGGGTATTTCGAGCTTACCCCCTGCCCCCCGGGACAGCTTTGACTTTGGTATGGATTCGAATTAGCTGTGTGCATGGTTGGTCCAGGGGGATAAGGAGAAGGAGCCACATTGCCAAAATACTCTTTAGCGTCTGGTGCCGTGTGAAGATTGGGATACTCGTTGTAATTTTGTTGCCTTTGAGGATAAGGGGATGGTGCGCACTGGTTGGAGCGTGGGTTAGGCGGATAACACGTGGGCGCGAGTTGAGGATATGGCATCTGCTGCAGAGGATAAGGACTGGTTTGTACTGGTGCGCCGCCAGGAGCGGGATGCGCGGG